ATACTACAGAAAGTCGCTCTGATCAGCTAATTCGATTACCTAGTCAACTTTTGATTTGAGTTGTGTTATTTTTTATCTATTCAGCTTTTTTGAATGGATTTTGCAGCTCTAGTTCATGCCATTGTTGCTTACTTTACAGTGCGCATATTGCAAGGAGCTCAGAAAATTCCAGTTGGAGATGATAATGACTGATTGTTTTGCGTGTTGTACCAAGGACCCAGAAGATGAACATCCGGTTTGTCTTGAATTTTTCGATCTGCTCCTATTTCTTTTATTTTTTCAAAAACTTTTTCATGTCAGAAACTCTCCCACCTGAACCTGCGGGATAGACAAACTGGTACCAGCCTTCTTTATTAGGGTAGAACCACGAATTGTACATCGTTACGTTAGACTCCGTTGACCGCGATCGAGAAGAGGAGCATTAATGAGCACATCGTGTCCCTTTTTGGAAGGTTCTTGTTCATGTGACCATGCTGTGAAATGTTCGTCTTTGTATTGTTCTCGTACATCGATCGGCTGGTTCCGCAAATAAAGCTCAATCGTGTTCAAAGTGTGGTGACACTTCTGAATGAAAATGCAGTGCATGGCGCACCCATAAAATTCCTGACGTGGAATATGTTTAAGGGGGGGGGGGGCTCTTCTGTAAACTTTTCCAGCTATCTCTTTATCTCTGTCAAATACCCTGCAAATGGAGGAATGGAGTGCCATTCCTCCATTTTCCTTCCAAATCTTGACCAGTCATTCTCACGATTTTGACAGGAGCTTACAGGGTATTGACAAGGTTGTCCGGTATTCTTATGTATAAAGTTTACAGGGTTTGGTAAGCTGCGAAGCGCTTGCAGTTGTGCCTCCCTCGTCAACCCCTCTCCTCCCAAATGTTATTGGCGCCGGATCGGTCAACTTTGGATTCTATACCTTTTCTAACCAAACAAGTAATTGTGCAAAGCTCTGGTTGCTAAGAGGTGTTTCTTCAATATGAATTTGAAGGTGTGGCCAGAATTTCTTTTGTGGTCAGTCTCCACGAAGACGGCTGCAAACTCACGCTTACCGACTTTGGAGTGATTAAGAGTGCAGTCATATTTTGCGTCTGCGGAGATCGATACCTGTGCTTTCTTAGTCGCTCAAAAGGCTGGTGTATGCTCGGAACGCTGACGCGAAGTATGAACGCGCTCCAAATGTTATGGAAGTTCAGCGATGGTCGGAAAGCTAGCGTGCGTCTCTGCACGTTTGATCATAAATGTGGTCAATGAGGGAAGGTGTAGTTACTTGTGGAGAGAATTGAGTACGGTAATGTGAATTTCACTGGTATTGCCGATATGCATGCTGTCAAAACAGAAACTTTCATAAATTCCACATCATACTGCGCCATGCATCCCAAATGCTGTAAAGAAATAATTAAAATGGATCCCCTTGCCCATGATTGAAGGGTCTGTTGTCAACGGCATCGTTCTAATCTTTTCCAGGGCTTTTCTTTTTCTAGAGTAACAATTCTATACGGAAGTATTCAACTGAATGATAGTTTTAATTATCTTCGTATCTTTCGTAAAATCATCGTACTCATGTGTTGCGCAAAAAGAAGCTTGTGTAATGGTTGGGAACACAATTGATGTTGGCCCCATGGGGCTCCACTTGGGGAAATGGTGTTCTGACCTAAATTTAGTACGGTTTTTCTTCGCTGCGGGTGAAAGGGCGTGTCAGGCGTGATGGGTCTGGCGCTGCGCCAAACCCGTTTTTCACCAGTT